TGGCTAGGAAAAAAATTGAATTTTAACTTTAAGAGTCCAAGAGAGGCTTGGAGTATGTGCTTTGTATGGGGTGGGGATATGATGTAGGCCATTATCTCTGGAACTGTATGATGCCCTGAGGCTCACTGATTATGGTCCCCAATTCAAAAACAAAATAAAAACAAAACAAAACAATAAAACCTTAACATCAAAGAAGAAAGTATTTGGGGAGGAAAAAATACAGGCAAGATGTAAACAAGGAAACACAGAAAAGTGTTAGGACAATTTAAAAAACACAGAATTCTTCTTTTTTAAAAATTGGTTTCATTTCTACAGTAAGTTCTAGTTAGCAAAATGCAAAGTCAGCTTTAAACCTACTTCAAATGTCTAACAAAAGTGTTTCGACAGACCCCTCAACTTTCTGGTGATTTGTGTCGGGAAAGAAGATTAAATCTGGTGTTGGCTCTTAGCAGAGAAAACACTCAGCGCTGCAATAGGAAGAAAATAATAATAATTAGGAAATAAAATAATTAGGAAGAAAAATAATTAGGAAGAAATAGATTTTGCTTATGTCCAGTTAATTGGTCACTCATCTCATTTAGGATGAAATAGCTGAATACTTTGTTTTGGCCTTCTTTCTTAAAAAATTAACTTTTGAAAACCAGAATGATACAGGTTCAGGTTCAAATATATTTTTAAAAATAGCCTTTTCTGTACTGCGGTGCATATAAGTAGCTTGTGTGGGTAAGTTGAACGCTATCTCCTCACCTTCCACTGGGATCTCAATGCTATGTGGGATTCACTGAAAATTTTATTACCACTGCAGCTCACACAATGGCATAACCGTGTTAATAATGTGCAGGACTTGGAACCCATTCCTCTGAAGACCCGAGGCCGGAGGCAGCTCATTTATTTCACCATATTTAAATCAATTGCCGAGGCAGGCAGACAATACACCTTGTGCCCATTTCCCTAATAAAACTGGCAGCACTGGAAGGTCTGTGGCGAGATTTCCCAGCCCCCTCCGGCGCCTTCTGGGTACCATCTTCTATGGAGAAGGTAGCTTGGTCCTCGCGTTCTTAGTATTTTTATTTTTCTGACGGCCTGCATTTCCCCCTTCCTCCTGCTAAGAGGTGACTGTCAGAACAGACAGTGTATGGTGATGGAGTGTTTCACAGCTGCCGAGTTTGATTCCTTTCACTGTGTTTGCTTGTGGGGTGCTTAGAAATACTTTTGAGTGCATTTCTGCAACTCAAAGTGTTTGCCTCAGCGCTTGTCTGAAAGTCTTCTGCCTTCACACACAGTGACATTCTCTCTTGTTAAATTCCCTGTCGCCACCTCATCTCTGCGTCCAACATTTTTTTTTTTTCGCTTGGTACTTCTGTCAAGCTCTCATTGACTGCTTGTGGTGGTGGTGTGTGTATTGGGGGGGATACTTTTTGTTTGGGGAACAGAACAAGATAACTGACTTAATCTTCCTATAGGAACACGTGAGGCGCCTTGTATCATTTTAATCTGCAAAATGCTGGGGCTGAGTAATGTCACATGCTGATTTTACTTTTCTATGCGCAAGTGACGCGGGGGCTCAATGATGGATGGCTTGTTCCCCCTCAAACAACAGTCAAGATGGTGAATGCCCTCGGGTGAGAGTGTGCAGTGGGAATGAGGCAGATTTGACGGCCGGTTCAAGTTCACCTGACAAAGCTGGAGTGGCCAGCAAGCAGCGTTTGAGAAAGGATTATTCACACTAGCATTAGCGTTTTGAATGCATTTTTTTTTTCTCCCTGCGCAGCTGCAAAGCTCCCTCATGCTGAAGGTTTAGGCACACCATAATAAAGAGATTTATTTCACACCCCCCACCCCCTATCTTGCCTCTTATACTTTACACCTAGTTTCTACTGAGCTGTTCAGACAGAGGACGTCTGTCTATCCAAACTCCACAGAACAAACATCATCTTCAAAACAATCCTTGGGCTCACAGTCGGGAACAAAGGCTGGTATTTCTGATGTCTGCTGGGACAAAGCTGGAGTCTCTCCTTGCGCTGAATGCAAATCCTGAAACTTCGCCTTTTCAACCCAGTCAGTGCCCCACTCCACACGGCAGAGATTAAGATGAAAATGAGTTCTCTAGGTCAACCAAGAAAAGAAGCAATCGGAGGGGTTTTCTAAACATGACTTGGCCAGGAGTGCAGATCGAGGAAGATGCCCTGAGTCCCGGTGGGGTGGGTGTGGGGGCCCAAACAAACATATAAAGCCCCCCCAAAAAAGGCCTGAAATTCTCTCCATATCCACTTTGAGTAAGAAAATCTTAAAGAAGGGGTGGGGGTGGCTGGAACAACAGCACAACAGGTAGGGCATGTATCATGCACTCGACCAACCTGGGTTCGATTCCCAGCATCCCATATGGTCCCCAAGCACTGCCAGGAGTAATTCCTGAGTTTATGAGCCAGGAGTAACCCCTGTATATCGCCAGGTGTGACCCCAGAAAAGCAAAAAAAAGGCGGGGGGTGGTTTGGGGAGTGGAGAGAGGACATTGGGAAAATTCCAACACAGGAAACACAATATTTTTTTTTTTCTTTTTGGGTCACACCCGGCGATGCTCAGGAGTTACTTCTGGCTTTCCACTCAGGAGTTACTCTTGATGATGCTTCGGGGACCATATGGGATGCTGGGAATCGAACCTGGGTCGGCTGCGTGCAAGGCAAACATCCTACCCGCTGTGCTATCTCTCCAGCTTCCAGGAGCCACAATCATTTAATTCTTCCCTAGAGCTGAGGCTGAGCAGATGCATCACCCTCCTGGTACCTTTGTTTTTGTTTTGGTGACTGGAGCATCACACATAGAGTCGTGGTGTTTACTGGGGTGTGTCATGGTCCTCCCGTTGTTCATCGATTTGCTCGAGCGGGCCCAGTAACGTCTCCATCATGAGACTTGTTACTGTGTTTGGCATATTGAATACATTTTTTTAATTTATTTTTTATTTTATTTTTTTTTTTGCTTTTTGGGTCACACCCGGCGATGCTCAGGGGTTACTCCTGGCTCATGCACTCAGGAATTGCTCCTAGCAGTGCTCAGGGGACCATATGGGGTGCTGGGAATCGAACCTGTGTCAGTCATGTTGGCTGCGTGCAAGGCAAACACCCTACCCGCTGTGCTATCACTCCAGCCCTGGGGTGTGTACTTTAGCCACAGTGCTGAGCGCCCCTTGCTGCAGTGGGCCAGGGAGAGCTAGTCCCAGGCTCTGCTTCCTTTCACGGCTTCACCCCAACATAAATGCACCAGGAGGAAAAAAAAGCCAGGCTGAGCAGGCAAGGACTAATGAGGACCCACATATCAGTCCTATTTAAACCTGCAACCCAGGCACCCCAAAACCAAAGATGGATGAATCTGACTCCAGGAAAAGGTCGTATGGGAGTCAGTTTCACATAGAAAGTCAGATGACAAGAGAGGGACAGAGAAAAATTGGGGATCACGTGACACTGACCTACAAGGCTTTGATCAAGGTATGGAACTTCTAGAGGGAAATCAGCAATGGTTACAGGCACGAGGGATGGGGACAAATTTTGGATTTCTCGGATTTAAACCAGAGTCCTTGTACCTCTCCACACCAGCAGCTCTGGGGAAAACAGGAAGAATGTTTTGTAGACTGGCTGAGGGCTGGGAATCGAACCTGAACAACCTGAACAAAACAGAAAGAGAGGCCCAAGTAGGGCCAGGAGAAACCGCAGTGGTTAAGGATCTAGCCTTGCCCAAGGCTGACCCTGGCTTAATCCCCAGGATCCCATACATTTCCCTGAGTACGGAGCAAGGAGTGATCCCCGAGCACCACCAGATGCTCCGAACAAACAACCAACAAACAATAACATCATTTAGTTTATTAAAGATGGTGAAAAATACAATTTTTAGCTACTGTGACATCTGGTGCTGCTTAAAGGTTAGAGATTTTGGGCAAGAGATTGAAGAACAGGACCTTAAATCACTGAGGATTTTTTGGGGGGAGGGAGGCAAGTGGGTACCCTAGGGGACCATGTGGTGTGGAGGATCAAACCGGGGTTTCCTGCAGCAAAAGCATAAGCCCTCACTGAAACCTCATGGGAAGGGGGGCGTTCCTGGCTTGTTCTTCACGCCCTACTGAGGTCACGAGTTGCCCCTTATGAGCGGCTCTCTGGCACGGCTGTGGCTCCAGAAGCAGAAGGACTTAATGCAGAGCCTGGCAGCTTTGGCAGAAAAGTGAATGGACTATGTGTTAATCCACGGTACCATTCCTGCCCGGGAGGGAAAGGGTGTTGCTCCTTTCTGCCTTTTTCCCCCTGGACAGCAAGATGGCAGCCTATTCAGAGCTCTTTGGAAAGCCAGGTATGAGCTGGTGGTGACGGGGCAACTGAAACCTCATGGGAAGGGGGGTATTCCTGGCTCATCCTTCACACCCTACCGAGGTCACGAGTTGCCCCCCACAAGAGGCTCTCCAGCACGGCCATGGCTCCAGAGCCACAGAAACCAATCTTGTAATTATCTGGCTTATGGCAGAAATACCTCCAGGCTTAATAAGTAAAATATCAGAAATCCAAATTTGTGTGGCCACAATAGCAGCCACGCAACATCATATGGTTCTTATAACTAACTGTTGAAAACAAATTATTTCACAATGCCTTTTCAGCAGTTCTGATTGTTGGGTGTAAACTGTAAACAATAATGGTTCATCTTTTGTCGAAATAATGATCGTAATCCAAGTAGACAGAGTGTTAGGTGAATTCATCAGCCTCACAGGCATTGGGAGGGATGGTGGTGGTGGGGGGATATTTGGGTTCTTGGTGGTGAAAAATAAGTACTGTTGAAGGGAAATGTGTTTGATCATTGCATAACTCAGACTTAAACCTGAAAGCTTTGTAACTTTTCCCACAGTGATTCAATAAATAAATATAAAAAAAAAACTGGAAAAAAAAGCATATGCCCTCATCCTCTGAGCCATGTCTTTTGTCTTTTTTTTCAGCTGATTTTGTTGTCCATGTGGGGGTGAGTAGGGGTCTCTTCCATGGTCCTGTGGCTGCAGGACTCAAGCTGAGTAGCAGACTCTTCCTGATATATTCTTAGTAGCTGCAGTCAAGGTAGCAAATCTGTAAGGTCTCTTAGGGGCCAGAGTGATGTTCCAGTGGGGAGGGTGTTTGCCTTAAACGACACTGAGCCTTGCCACCCATTATGGTCCCCTGAGATCACCTGGAGTGATCCCTGAACACAGAGCCAGGAGTAACCCACGAGCACCACCAGGTATGGCTCTACACAAACAACAAAATAAAGCGAGAGTGGCTGATTTCTCTCACAAATCACTGGCCAGAACTGGTCCGCAGACCCTGCCCATGCTCCCCGGGGCCTGGTTTCCAGCACATGTGCTGTGAGGTGCCCCGCAGGGTCTAAGAGAACAGAGAATCACATGGGTGATGCACCAGGGGTCTGTCTCATGACCTCAGAGGTCAGAGCTAATGGTGTTTGTCAATGGTTGGTCTGGTCAGAGCGAGCCTGTGGCATATTTCGTTACATTTCACGTGCTGGTCATTAAAGAAGTAGGAGATGCCCCTCTTTCCAAAGTTGGTCGAGACATCCTTCCGATCCACAGAGTGAATCTGGGGATCTGTGAGGTAAATGAGTCCCTTTCCATTTCCTGTCACCCAACCTAAGAGAGAAACAGAGAGGCCCGTGCATTAATATTTGATAAAGATCAGTCAGGATGTAAGAGATTAAAGGGAAACCTTAAGAACTTGGCCATTGGCAGGATTGAATGGTGGCTGAGAAAACTGAAGACAATGGTGGAAGGAAGGTGGTGGGACTGGTGTTGGAATATTGAATATTGATTATTGGAATATTGTATTCCAATACTGGAATACTGGAATACTGAATACCTGTAACAAATCTTCATGAACAACTTTGTAAATTATGGTGTTTAAAGAAATGTGTATGTGTATGGGGAAAGAACTCAGCACTCCTGTGGTTGATAGTGGATAGTTTTCTAAACTCTAGTACAGGGGCTAAGGTGCTTGCCTTGTATACCACAAAATCTGGTTCAATCCTTGGGACCCCTTTTAGTCCCCTGACCTCTGCAGGAATGATCCCTGAGTGCAGAGCTAGGAGTAAGCCCTGAGCACCATACAGTGTGGCCCATAATCCAAAAACAAAAACAAAAGCCAAAAAAAAAAAAAGGAGAACTGAATCTTGGGGAATTAAATTTGTCAAATAGGACATATCCTCATGACCATTTGTTCAAGGAATTAACAATAAAATACATTCAGCATAATTGCAAAAATCACAATATTGAATATTTCTTGAATTTCTTGAATATTGAATTAAATATTTCTTGAATTTCTTGAATATTGAATTATGATTCAGCTGTCTTTGGTGCTTTCCTCATTAAGTCAGACCTTCCTCTGTTCATTCAACAAATAATTACTGAGTGCACACACCAGACAAAGTGCTGTTTGGGCACTGGGGATAAGGCAGTGAGCAAGTCAATTAAAAACAAACTACACATCATGCTCAGGACAAAGACAGATTAATAAACAAAGTGAGTAAAAGAAATAATGTGAGAGTGACGAGAAATGCTAGGAGAGTGTTTTAAGTTAGAGTGTGGGATAATTATTCCTACTGTTTTTGGTTTGGGGGCCACATCTGGTGGTACTCAGGAACTTGTGCGTGGGGGGAGGTCACTGGCAGCAGTGCTGGGTGGGGTGTGAATCCTGAGGACTGAACACAGGCCTCCTGCATGCAACACACACGCTCAGCCTGCAGAGATCTCTTCCTGGCCCCTGATTCTGAGCAATAAAATACCAGAGGAATTATAATGGCAGTAAGAGATGAATGCACCTTCCGGTCACATGTTTTTCTAGTCTGTAATAATCCTGATTATAAAATCCAACAACAACTTATAATGAGGTAAAAGGACTGGAGAAAAGAATGAACAGATTTTATTGGGGGGTGGGGGTTCTTTTGGGCCATACCCAGCAGTGCTCAGGGCTTACTCTAGGGCTCAGGGATCATTCCTGGTGGGGCTTGGGGGCCATATCGGGTGCCAGAGATTGAACCCAGGTTGGTCGAGTACAAGGCAAACAACCTCTCCACTGTACTAGTTCTCTCGCTCCAAGGATGGAAAGATTTTTTGACTCATGAAAAAATGCCATAAGAAACTTACTACACTCAAATCCACTGAGTGAAAAAAAAAACCAAACCAACAAACACTGTTATGGGGGTGCTGAGGTGGTTTGAGAACCAGCCTTGCATGCGTAGGGTCCCGACTCTGGTTCCCAGTACTGCACTACTAGAAATTAGCTGAACAACACTGAAATTTCAGAACGCTCTTTTGGATTCTCTTGAGAATCCAGCCCCACATAATGTGAATAGAATTGTCTCATAGTGACATCTTTGACATGGAAGAAGTTTTAGACATTAGTTTGGATATCATTTGCTGCACATCGTAAAACTAATTCATGCACCGAACAATCAGTTAAATGACCACATCATAGTCGAACTCCTTATCAAACCTCATTCACATTCACATACAAATAACGCTAAAAAGAAAAAGCAATTTCTGGTTTTACCTACCTTGCAAATCAACCACAACCTCTTTGTGGTTGGAAAACTCGTAAGAAAAATGGCCATAAGCCAAACCATATTCCGTGGCTTTGTGCTCTGTCTTCACGACAGTCGTATTATTTGACAACTTCACGAATTCTCCTGGTATGTAAGGTTCCACGCTGATACACCCCTTTATCGTCTTGCCCTCCAAAATCTGTGAATGGAAACGGTAGTTTGTGGCAGATCTTAGTTTGACTCTGGACTTTGTCTCTAGGGAGCTCTTTTGGGGCTCTAGATTTTGGGTTTCTCAGTTGTCAAGTGGGTTTAGCAGCAGTTAGGTTAGGACCCAGGCATGTGACCCCATGGTAGAGAATCTGCCTTGGAGACATGAGGCTTAGAGTTCAATCACTGGTCGTGTGTGGTTCTGGTGTATTGTGACCAGGAGCGTGTGCGATACCCATAATAAAAAAGGCCCTCCCGTTGATCGTCGATTTGCTCGAGCGGGCCCAGTAACGTCTCCATTGGAGACTTTGTTGTTACTGTGTCTGGCATATCGAATACTCTCGGTAGCTTGCCGGGCTCTCCGAGAGGGGCAGAGGAATCGAACTTGGGTCGGCCATGTTGGCCGCGTGTAAGGTGAACGCCCTACCCGCTATGCAATAACAACAACAAAGGGAAGGGAAAGGGGAAATAGTAATAGTGACCTGATAGCCTGGAATGAGATGAGCAAAATCTATGTAGATACTTAACACTGCGTGGTGCATATAACAGAACCTAAAATTCTTCTCTTGTAAAATGCTGACATAAAAGTTGGGCCAAGAAGAGATAGCTGGGGGTCCAGCTTGCCAGGGATGTAGACAGACCATGCACAGGAACTCTGAGGTAGAATATGAGGACAAGCATATTGGTGCAATCTGATTTGCTCTGCAGTTGTTTCAGGGGTGTCAGTGTTTGTTAAGTGCTTGTCACAGTGATGAACTAGGAGAAAGTGTGATGTGGGTTGGAGTTACTGTGATTATAAGCAATAGGATGCACATCTACAGATGTCTCTTGCTGAAGTGGGTGTGGGGCGGTAACTCAGCGGTTGAGGATTGGCCTTACATGTGTAAGATGCTGAGTTCTGTCCCTAGTAAAACACACGTGTGAGTGCATGCGTGCACACACACACATTTCAGGTGTAGCTAAGCTAAGAATCTAACCAATGTGTGAAAGCATGGTATTTTTTTGTGGGGGGGTCACACCTGGCAACGCACAGGGATTACTCCTGGCAGTGCTCAGGGGACCATATGGTAGGGCTGGGGATAGAACCCAGGTTGGCCACGTGCAAGGCAAATGTCCTACCCGCTGTGCTATTGCTCCAGCTCCTGAAAGCACAGTATTTTAATTCTCAGTGGGACCACTGAGAATACAATGCGTTTGTATACTTAAGGACCTATCTTAGTGAAGAAGAATTTTTTTCCCTCATGGTCCCAGAGCTGTAATTTTTAGGTAGAAATGGGCTGAAGACAGATTTGGAATCAATGCAAGAACTTTTCAGCACTTATAATGACTTGAAAGTACATGAACAATTTTGTTTCCACTGAAAGTGTTGAAGTTATGACTTAGGGATCAGTGAGTTAGTGGGATAAAGTCCAACAGATAAAAATGGAACAGATGACTTATATCAGGGGCTAATCTGTGTGAAATTAAATTTAGGGCCATCGAAGGAGAAGACTATTAAAAACCCACCCAAAGGTAAGCAGGTTGGGCTAGATCCTACATCAAAGGCTATTCAGAAGTGACCCGGAAGAGAATGACATATTCAGCACAGAGGGTCATACTTCATACACATCCATCTTTGCAGGAGAGGAAGGAGCCTAGCAACCGAGTTTGTTGAGTTATGTCAGAACAAAGGTGGAGTAGAAGCCATTAGATATGATCCTAGTCAAAGTCAGTAGAAAAGGATCCTAATATGCCCATACAGGCAGGTCTAATGGAACGCGTGCTTTCCTCACCAGCAATACTGTGGACGGGATGTAGAAAATCTGGGTGGGGATCTTCTGTTCATAAAGCCTCTTGTTAAACTCTGTCACGTAGTGCTGTGCGGTCATCTGCCGCTCCACGTCGGAGAAGTGGCTCCAAAGGCCTTTCTGCTCCTTATATTCTTTCCCAACATACCTGCATCCATGGGAAGAAAAACCACACGGAGAGATGAAAACACCACCTCACCATGCAGCAGGCGAGCGACAGGCAAGAAGCATCCACGATGCTCCGGTTTCTCGGCCACAGACAGCCCTATGAAAGAAGCTAGCTTGTCTTGGGGCTCCGGTCCTTCTGTATGTGTTGTCTGAACAGTTAAGCATCGTTCATGCTGCCGGGCCTGTCTGCCACCTCGACTTCTCACGGGATGCCCAGGTGTCAGTGAAACATGATTCTAAGGCTTTCTCTGAGTGCTCTTGGTGGAAGTTTCTTATCTCAGTCAGTGGGCTGAGCAGAGCAGATCACTCTCCCTTACGTGGGCAGGCTGACGAAGAGCAGGGTTGATCCATAATCGCCCTTCATCCTTATCAGCTAAAGGACTGAACAGAACCCAAAGGCTGCCACCACCCCATGGAACAAGAGTGTCCTTCTTGTCTGAGTGCCTTTGATGGGCCAGGAGTGTTGGTGCTAAGCCAGGACATTAGGATGAGCCTCTGGACGTTGCCCTGCAAGCAGGAAGAAGAACTGAGGCCCCACTTCTCACTAAGTGGGCAAGCTAAAACTTGTGAGTCCAAAGACCCGGAGAAGTACAGCATGCTCTCATACACCTGCCTAGTCATACATTATCTCGGCAGTACAAGGCAGCAGTTTCCTCCTCTCTTACACATCCTTAATCTGGACTGACCTTCAAGTATCAGTATGAGCCTTCTCTTTGCCTATGTGTAACCGACCACAAGAATATGGGGGACGTAATCTGTAAAGCCTACGTGTCCAGTTCCATACCTTCCTCTGACATTTTTAATTATAACAATATAGCGTTGACAGCACAGCTTCGACAAGACAATGTATACCCTGATGTTCTTTTGACGAATGCTCACCCCATAATGGTTTGTACTCTTGTTAGTGAGTCTTTCTCTGTGATGAAGTCATTAGGATGTAACTGATAAAAAATAGAATAAAAGGAGACCTCTGGCAGTCATTCTTCGCCTCGAGCCAGAATGAGCCTTGGCCCTCCATGCTTTTTACATTCCTCTCGTGTGTTTTATCTCCATGCCTTCGAACAATTGATCGACCACTTCATGCAACATAGGGGTCTGGTCCTCCCTCGGGAGTTCAAGGAATCTCAAATTCCTTCTTGGGTCTCAAGTTGGTTATAGTGATTGAGACAATCTTATCTCCATCTCATCTGAGGCTTCATAATAAATTATTGATAAATATTTTTGGGGGTGATTTGGGGTTATATCGGCAGTGCTCAGGGGCTAGTCCTTGCTCTGGGCTCTGGAGAGACCCCTCTTGGTACCTGGGGAATGATATATGGTACCTACTGTACCAACTCTCTGCCCTCTGATAATATTGATAATTAAAATGGTCAGTGTCTGTTTCAGGGACTATGTTCAGCGGAGTGGTCTGAATTCATTCTTGGCAGTGCTCAAGGGACCATATCGTATAGTGGCTCTATCTAATTTGCTCCAGCTCACTGACCTATCTCCTTGACCCTACTTGTCTTAACAGGTCTTGGTGCCAGCATTTTAGTGTTTTAATGATAATGTTTAAATGGTAATGTTTTAATGATAATGTTTAATGATAGCGTTTTAATGATAATGTTTAATGTTAATCATTAATGGTTAATGATTAATGTCTAATGATTAACATTAAACATTATCATTAAACATATAAAGCTCTCTAGCTTTATATATATGTGTGTGTGTTTGTGTGTATACACACATCACTGTCCTCCCGTTGTTCATCGATTTGCTCGAGCGGGCCCAGTAATGTCTCCATTGGAGACTTTGTTGTTACTGTGTTTGGCATATCGAATACGTCACGGGGAGCTTGCCAGGCTCTGCCGTGCGGGCAAGATACTCTCGGTAGCTTGCCGGGCTCTCCGAGAGGGGCGGAGGAATCGAACTCGGGTCGGCCATGTTGGCTGCGTGCAAGGCAAATGCCCTACCCGCTGTGCTATTGCTCCAGCCCTGGGCCTGCTCGAGCAAATCGATGAACAATGGGAGGACAGTATACACACATGTATAATATATATCACATATACATGTAATGGTATAAAAATTTCTCCTGTAGGCTTAAAATCATGGTTTTTAAAAACATGCAGCCACATGTGATCTAAGATGGGTCCTGATCACAAGGTATCTGCTATTAATAAACGTGGAGAGGGCAGAGGAGCAGGGCCACCTGGCCAGTGTTTCCAGCTGCTCCCAGGTCTCACAGACCCCAGCTAAGTAAGGTAGCGTCTGTGCATCTGCGTCCTGCCCAGGTGGTTCTCACGTTACCTCCCCAGAGTTTCTTCCTGATGAAGATGGTAAACCCAAAAAGCGTTTCTTTGTCTGCCTTCCTTCTTCACATTCAGGTAGTCCCCCAAATAAACAACCGTTTCCTGAGCTGTCCACAATTCGGATTTCTTGGAATATTTGAACAGAAGAGCATCTGGAAAAGAAAGAGGAAAATGGATTTTCTTTCAGAAAGACTGGAACATGCTCAGACAAAGGTGAAGGATGATCTTCGTCAGTTCTGAAATCTGCAACTTCTTTAGACGTTTTTCCACAAATTTCAGCCTATCCCATGACTTCATCTGAAAAATCCAGTTGGGTGCAGTGCAGTTCAAAAGGCTTCACAAGCCTGCTTCAAGTGCTGGTGGAGAGGGCAGTTGGGATAGAGAAGGGACCACAATGACAGTGATGATTGGAAGGGATTGCTTTGGATGGGAGATGTGTGCTGAAAGTGGGTAAAAATGATGGCCTCACAGTATCTGTATTGCAAACCATAATGCCTAAAAGTAGAGAGAGAAAAAAGAAAAGTGCCTGCCACAGAGGCAGACTTGGGGGATGAGGGTGGGTAGGTGAGTGGGGGGAGGAATCCAAGGGACATTGATAGTGGGAAATGTACACTGGTAGAGGGATGGATGTTGGAACATTGCAATACTAAAAAGCTATCAGGAAAGCTTTGTAACTGTTATCTCATGTGATTCAATAAAAAACAAAAAATATGAAAAAAAAATAAAAAGGCTCCACAGATGTAATGAAGAATAACAGCCTCTGACTCACAAAACTCTCTTGCTTGCAGAGGTAGTTATGCCATGTTTCTCTAGGGAAGTGTTCTGTGACGTGGACTCCCCACCACCACTAACTTCCATGCTGTGACCCTGAGGCTGCTGGGAAACTCCCGGGGCCTGGTCCATGACAGGTGAGGATGCTGGAGCCGGAAGCAGCTGTGCATGGTCCCCCTATGGCTACCACATGAGCGCCCAGGACACCTATGGAATGGTCAGGGCTGGACCTTCCTCCAGCCCGCTCCACTCTGACCCTCAGCGCCCAGCGAGGGAGGCCGGGAAGCCCCTCTACTCAGCACTGAGCACGCGCAGGGCGGTCTGAGGGGGGCTTTCGTGGGGTGCGGGGCTCAGGGATCTGCGAGACTAGTGCTCCGGGGTCTCACCGTGCGCCCGGTGGAGCTGGCAGGGCTGGAACACGCCGGTCCTCGCCAGCCTCCGGCACAGCCACTCGTGCTGCACCCCCGCCAGGAGCTGTACCACGTCCTCAGGCTGCAGCGTGCGCGCCGCCAGCACCTCGGGCCTCGTCCATCCTGTTGGGGAGGCGGAAGGACTCGCGCCCTCAGTGATCGCCGACTCCGGGCTGCAGCAGAACGCGGGGAAGCGCAGCCCCGCTGCCAGGCTGCAGTTTCCTTCCTCGGTGGTGCAGTCCTCGCCCAGCCCCCCAGGCGCACGGGCACAGGGGCGTGCCCAGGCCTGGGGGGCTGTAGAGCCCCCACGGGGCGCCCCTGGAGCGTATGGCTGGTGGGAACCCCTGTTTACATCCATTACTGGGGCTCCAGGGACCCGGCCAGTGCCGACCCCTGACTTGGGGAGCCCAGCAGGCCGGCCCAGAACGACAGGGCTACCCTCCCGCCCTGGACGGTCGCCGGGATGGTCCTCCGTGTGCCTGCCACACGCGGGCACGTCTGCTGTGCTTTCCGCGGTTTCCCCTTCGGGGTCCACCCACCCCGAGGGGGGCCTGCAGGCGGGGCCGGAGCCCTGGGTGGCCCTGGGCTCGCAGGGGGTGTCTGGAAACCCGCCAAGGATTTCAAAGGTTTCCTCTTCTTCGAAGGAAGAAGACTTGGGTTCTTGGGGCGGGACAGATGTTGCGGCAGCCCAGGGGGCTGCGGGCCCACAGGAGGGCCTTGGGGTCTCAGACGCATCTCTGGAGCCTGCCGTGGCCTCTGCCATGGGAGCCCAGGACTCATCCAGGTCCAGCAGCTCGGAAGGCCACTCGGGCTGGACCCCGAGTGCCCCACTCTCCCGCAGCGCAGACCTGCCCATGGGGCCAGACCCCTCCGGGGTGGGCGGGTCATCCACGGGATGACTCACTTCTTCCCAGCTGGAGGTGGACCCGAGCTCGTCCAGCGTGCTCCAGGAGCTGCTCGGAACCTCCCTCCCGCTGCGGCTGGGCTCGGGGACCCGTTGCGCCCCGCTTTCGGCAGCCCCCGGGCCTTTCCCAGATGGTGGCTGGTCTTCCAGGGTCCCCGCGGGCGCCACGGTGCTGGTGTCCGTGTCCAGAGCCGTGACGCACGCTCCGCCCCGTCCCTCTGCGCTGCGGCCACAAGGATGCCCGACGACTTGGCACACGGCCGCGTGGTGCTGCGCGTGGGCGTGGAGCACTTCCTGGAAGTCCACTTGCTCGAGCATCACCAGTTGCTCCAGGCCGCGCTGGAAACTCTCTGGCACGTAGGAGCGGCTGTCCGCACTGGCGAAGCTCTGGACCTGCCAACGCTCCTGCACCTGGCTGACGGCCTCCAGGATGTCCCCTGCCAGCTGGGCCTCTCCCGGGCCCTCTGGGGCCGAGCTGAGCGCGTGCAGCTTCTCCAGCGCTTCTCTGCACAGCCCACTTGCTGCACGGACCATCTCGGTCTCCCCGTGCAGACGCCGGTGTACCGTGGTGAGCCCGAACGCGGCTTTGAGGAAACTGTGCAGCTCCTGTTTGCCAGTGGCTGGCTCCCGGTCGCCTCTCCTCGTGAGCAGGCCGATCCCGAAGGCCTCCCGGGCTTCGCCCAGGTACAGACTGCGCTTCTCCGGAGGACATTCGTGGGTACTGCTGTAGGACAGCAGGCAGGCACCGCGGATATTCTACAGACAGACAGATGCACAAATACACAAAGTCAAGCATGTTGCAAGCTGGAGGGGACCCAGGAAACCCTTTGGTCTCCTGAGGGACAGCTGGAAACTGGGGGCCTTATGGGACATGTACTTGGGTGGAGGGATGGGTGTTGGAACACTGTGTGACTGTAACCCAATTATGAACAACTTTCTAACTGGGTATCTCGTGGTGATTCAGTTAAAAAAAAATATAAACTCCCATTGTTGACTATCAATACATTTAAAAAAAATCTTGTAAGGGTTACATGTCAGGGCTAGTCTGAGGAAAATTTACACTCCAACAGTGAGTGAAGAACCTGTTTTGTTTTTTCTTTCTGCTTTTTTGGGTCATACCCAGTGATTTTAGGGGTTACTCCTGGACTTGCATTCAAGAATCACTCATGGTGGTGCTCAGGGGACTGCACGGGGTGTTGGGAATTGAATTGGGGTCAGCTGTGTGCAATGTGCAATGTCCTTCCCGCTGTATTATTGCTCTGGCCCAGAATCTTTTTTTTTTTGTGGGTGAGGAGAGGCATGCTAAATATTTGTGATGGGTGAGTTGGGAGGTAAGAAATTAGTTCTAGGGAACAGAGAGACTGAGATGGTACAGCAAATGAAGTGGTTGACTTACATATGGCCGACCCAGGTTTGATCCCTGGCACTACATATGGTTTCCTGGGCACCACCAGGAGTGATCCCTGAATGCAGGGTCAGGAGTAAGTCCTGAGCATTGCCGGGTGTGGTCTCCAAACAAAACCAAAGAAACGGAAAGAAAAGAAGAATGCCCTCCAAAAACACATCCAAGAATGGAGGCTTGGAAGCCCCCCTAGTCCCCCTAGGATGTGGGGATCCCTGGGCCAGTGTTTGAGCAGGAAAGGCCTGTGGGGCCTTGCCCAGATGCTGCAGACAGAGGCAGAGTCCAGGAACTTGGCTCTGGAAAGGGGGGTCCACTCTTGAGCAGACCATGTGGCACCCCCAGGCTGAGCGACCCAGCTCCCCTTTGAGCAGACCATGTGGCACCCCCAGGCTGAGCGACCCAGCTCCCCTTTCTGTCCCCTGGAAGTGGCCCCTCTGGTGCAGACCACCTTAACGTGTGTGTGAGTGGATCTGATCCCAGCCACTCAGCAAGCAGCACAAGGCTGACTGAGAGTCCAGCCCTGTCCTTGCCAGGGAGAGGGGAGCACTGTTACCATGGCCGAGAGCACGAAGAGGGGTGTGTAGGGACTGAAGGCAGCCGCCAGCTTGCAGGCTTCAGCCGCGGACAGCAGGTGATGGTCCCAGTCCTTCAGCAGACCCTGTGGGGAAAGACACGGTCAGGCCCGTGTCCATGGGCATCTGTCCTCTAGCCGAGGGCACCCCTGAGCTGCCCTGGCTGTTCTTTCAGGTTCTACGAGCCCTGCTGTCCCCTTCCCAGTGAGACCCCAACACAGCAGACAAAGAGTAAGTGACTCAGACCAGCTTCTCTCCGCAACCACACACCAGCCGCTCCCCAGCTCCTGAAGGGGATCTGAGCGACACAGGGGAGGACAGGAGTAATTCTCTGTTCATGGAAAAGGTGCATATTTGCAGCGGAATCAAGAAATGGCCCTTGAAACAGCCCTTCAACTAGTGACCTCACAGCCTAACATTAAGGTCCATTTGCACACTGGGCTGGACAGAAGGGGGAGGGGCCCTGAGCAGATTCCCCCAAGATGGCGAGAGGGCCAGTGTCAGGGGCTGCAAGTGTCCCAGGGAGACACAAAGCGGGCGAGGGGTCCATGAGGTCAGGGGTGGAAGAAAAGGATCTGCTCTGTGGGAAAAAGTGGGGGGGGGGGCTGGAGTGATAGTACGGGTACGGTATTTGCCTTGCATGCAGCAGACCTGGGTTTGATTTCCAGAGTCCTATATGGTCTCCTGAACACCGCCAGGAGTAATTCCTGAGTGCAGAGTCAGGAGTAGCCCCTGTGCACCACCGGGTGTGACCCAAAAAGCCAAAAAAAGAAAAAAAGAATCTGCTCTGTGTGTGTGTGCATATATGTGTGTGTATGTGGAGAGAGAGAGAGAGAGAGAGAGAGAGAGAGAGAGAGAGAGAGAGATTGTTTGTTGCAAGAGGTTTAACCCAGAGCATCATACATGGCAGGTGTGCTTCCTCTTAGCCACAGTTTTCTTTTTAAGGGTGGAGGGGGGGCGGGTCAAACCATACCTAACAGTTTGGAGTGGTGGGGTGGGGCTCCTCCTAGCTTTGTGCTCAGGAAAACATGTGGTACCCATGGTCCAACCTGGTTCTCCCATATACAAAGCATGAGTCATCCATTAGCCTCCCCTTATGCCCCATTCTTTCAAGGCTGTGTGTGGGGGAAGCCACACCCAGTAGCACTCTGGGGCTACTCCTGACTCTGTGCTTGGGAGGGATCCCTGGCGGTGCCCACAGGGACCATATTCAGTGCTGGGATTGGAACCAGCTGCAGTGCCTGGCAGCCGCCAGCAAGGCCCGGGTCTTCCCTCCGGTCTGGCCAGCTGACTCTGGCTTCTGTGCTATTTTATTGGCCCTCTCTCCTGCCCCCCTGCAGTGCTCTGAGGCTCCTGGGATAAGACCGTGCTGGTGGGTGGGGTGCGACGCTGGGGTCTCCAATCCCGGGGCTGGCCTGTGCGACCCTCTCCCCGGCACGGGGGTCATTTTCCGGTGCTCTCTGGCTGTCTGGCAGGGATGAGATAAGGGCAGGGCAGGGCAGTGAAGGACAGGCTGTCCCCAGGCTGCTGCCCACTTGGTAGGCACCACACTGTCCTCCTGCATCCCCAGGAGAGGGCGAGCGTGACCCAGCAGGCCCCGGGAAACAGGCCGACAGGTCGTAGGGGCTGTGGGGCTGCCTTCTGGTTCTGAGGGCGAGAACCCGTTACCAGGTTAATCTGCGGATGGTTCTTCAGCTTCTCGTAGTCCTTCTTGCTCATGGACACAAAGATGTCGGCCAGGATCCCGAGCGACATGGAGATGCCCTGTGAGGACACATGACACACAGCTCCATCCCTGCCTGGCTCTTGCCCACAGGCAGCCATGTGAACTGCTGCCTGTCATTATGTTCGGTGATTCCAACTATGACACTGGAGCTGGGGTGACTCTGGGGAGCAGACTCAGGGCCTTACACAGGCCAGGCATGTGGCCTTGCATCCAGCCAGTCACACTGTCTCCATGGCCGCCCTGTGGAGATTCTCTTTGTCGCTTTTGGGGTCACCCTTGGTGGTGCTCAGGGCTGACTCCTGGCTCTGTGCTCAGATGACCTGGGGGCTATGGGGTACCACAAGCTGTACTGGGGATGGAACCTGAAGTGGCCGTGTGCCAGGCCAGTGCCATCCCAGATACCCTTGAAGTGAATACCACAAGGCTTGACAGGATCATTTCCTCTCACCTAATGGAAACACGAGGAGCCGTGAGCTGGGCTGGCTGGTCTACAGAGCTCGCTCCTCCCTGTGACTGGGCTGAGGTTGTGCTCGGCCATGCACACTCATATCCCCCTCTCTCTGCTGCTCACCGGCTCGTCTGCAGCACACGCACCCCAACCCTACTGCCACCCCTGGGACCAATGTGTTTCCCAACGTTCTGGCCAGCAGCGACATTCCTGGGCAGTTCCAGGGCCTGAGAACCTCAAGAGGGACAACATATACTGTGTCCATTTCCAGAACGAACGAATAAGAGTTCCCTTGAAGCCCTGGCCCATGCAGCAAGGAAGACGATCTTACACCCTGGCCACCTCAGGTTTGCTACAGGGGCCGGAAAAGCTAAACACAGAATAAGAGAGTGAGATGGATGGATCTGGGGTACAGCCTGATGTATAAGCAGTCACCAACACACAGGGAAATACAGAGTCCACTCAGGTGTCAAGCCACAAAAACCAGGATCGATAATAGCAATAAACATGGAAGGGAACTGAGCCAGAAGGAGATGGTCGCCCAAAGACAGATGCAGGAGAGAACGCAGGAGACACGGATACCACCTTCTTATCCGGCAGCGGTAGACTCAGGAAGCCTATGATGGAGGCCCAGATTAACTCCGCTGCTTCGTACCACATTCCTGGAACAGAAAGGGGAGATGCACAGGCCGCCCGATGTCTGCACCGGGTCAGGGGGGCCTTTGGGAGCCGACATAGCCAGAGATGCATGGTACCCTGCTAGGAAAATGCAGCTCTCAATCAGATTGACAACCTGCTTTTTTTTTTCCCTTTGACTTTTTTGGGTCATGCCCGGCAATGCTCAGGGGTTACTCCTGGCTATGTGCTCAGGAATTACTCCTGGTGGTGCTTGGGGAACCATACATATGGGATGCTGAGGATTGAACCTGGGTCAGCTGCATGCAAGGCAAGTGGCCTCCTTGCTGTACTCTTGCGCTGCACCCCCCCACCCCAATCAGTCTGTTTTTTCACTTTATTTATTGAGTTTTGGGGCTTGGTCTTCTCAGGATCTCTGGTGCCAGGGATAACCTGGGATACTCCAGCAGTGCTTGGGGGATCTCCAGAGCCACTATAGGTGGGACTTGGGGACCATACTTCATGCCAAGATCAAACCAGGGCCTGCCACATGCAAGGCAAATGGCTTCACCCCATACTCTCTCTGGCCCATGTCACTTGATTTTTCTGAGATATGTTTTCCTTTTACAGGGAAACTCTAAGGATGATCATGTATTATATAGAAATATTAATATTAAAAGCTATTCTTTACATCCCCACCCCCAATAAATTCCACTCTCTGTTCAAGATTTGCAAACACTCTGGTCTACGTTTGGAAGTACAGGAGGATTCGAGAAGCTCTCAGGGGTCAGGAGGCACAACGCCTCAGTAGGCATAAGGGTGGGCTTGGACGAGTGTCACCACATCACATGGAAGCCAGGTGAGCTGAGTCTGATGTGAAAAGCAAAACTGAGACCCCTCTGGTTAACATCCTCAGAGAAGACTGTAGCTACCTTTAACAGAACTCAACAGAAAAATACTTTGTTTTATTCCTAACATGTTGGAGAAGGAGACTGAGAGCACAACTTTTTGTTTTGCTTTTGAGACTCATCCAACAATGCTCAGTACTTACTCCTGGCTCTGAGCTCAGGGATGGCTCCTGGTGAGACTCAGGGGACCCTGTATGATACTGGGGACCGACCCTGGGCCAGCTGTGTGCAAGGTAAGTGCCCTACTCACTGTACTATCTCTCTGACTCCACGTACTAATAATTTTAACCTGACACAGTGAGAAGATGTATGGTAAAAGCTCTGAAGCAGAGGGGGACCAGGCACCAAGGGGAGCAGAAGCAGGGGTGGGGCTGGGGTGTCCGTACATACCCAGCTTCTGCAGAATCTGCCCTCTGATCTGAATGCACACCGACTGCACCAGGACCCTGTCACTCTCGTGTCTGTACTGCCAGGTACCTGCAATGAACGAGGGGAAAGGAAAACATGTTCAGGGCTGGAACAACAGTCTCACAGGGAGGGTGTCTGCCTTGCATACAGCCAATGCAGGTTCAATCCCCAGCATCCCATATGGCCCCCAAGCACCTCCAGGAATGAGTCCTGAGTGTAGAGCCAGGAGTAACCCCTGAGCATCACAGGGTGTGACCCAAAAGAAAAACAAATAAGAAAAACATCTTGGAGGCTGAGTGCAGAAGCACCAGGCACAGAAAGTGCGTTTCCAGGCAGCCTCAGAGCCCAAGAGATAGGAATCCAGAGCCGAGGTCTCCTCTGCATTTGGAGGCTGGTGGCTGGTCAGCCCAATCCTCATTCTTATGTCCCCAGTCCAGTGTGAGCGGACCAAGTGAGTTTATCTTTATGGAGGGGAGCAGGGCTGGATCCCAAGCTGGTAGACGGGAGAGAAGGGAGGTGTTTATTGTGACGGGGTGTGGAGCTGGGATATTTTAAAAACACTCATCTGTTCAGGGGTGTGTGTGTGTGTGTGTGTGTGCGTGTGTGTATGAATGTGTGCATGTGAATGTGTGTGTGAGTGTGTGTATGTGTGTGGTGTGTAGTGGGGAGCAGACATCAAGGCTGGGGGCCACAAAGTGCCAACAGTCAATCATCAAAATTGGACTCACTGTGGGCCCTTGAGAGCACACAAGTGGGGCTTTTACCTGGCATGTGCATGCACCGCAGGTGGTCCCCTGAGCCTGCCAGGTGTGATCCCTGAGTGCCGAGTCCTGAGCACTGCCAGGTGTGGGCTCAGCCACCAGGAATCACTCCCTTCCATGGGGGATGGAACAGGAAAGGGAACTCCGTCACAGAGTTATTTGTCTACACTCGTGGGCAGCAAAATCAAATTCATTTGTCAAACTATTTATTTATTTTTAGCGTTGGGGCCACACCTGGCAGTGCTCAGAGCTTACTTCTGGGTCTGCGCTTCAGGGATTGCTCCTGAGGGACCATATGGGATGCTGGGGCTCGAACCTGGGTCCGTCAGCCATGTGCAAAAAGCAAACACCCTCCCCACTCGACCATCTCTTTGGCTCCCAAAGACCACTGCAACACACAGGTCACTAGAGAGGCTGCTGCCCAGCCCTTTGGAGGCCCAGGCAGTGACCTGGTCAGCGGACGCTATCATCACATCCCATCCTGCACTTCATCCTGTCACGTTCTTCAATGGACCAGGGAAACAGTCAGGTCTCTCTTTTGCTCTCCACAGCCGCCTCTAACCCCTCGCCTCACAGCATGTAAGGGTCACTTCGGTGCATGCCTGGCACCTGGGATCAGGTGCAAGGGTGCACACTTCCCCCTGGAGTCACGGAGCCATCTTCTAGACCCTTCTCTTGGGGGGTGGGGGTGAAGGGGTCACAAACAGCAGGGCCACCTTACCACCTCAGCGCACATGTAGGTATCAGAATTTGAACTCATGATCTTGAGCTTGCCAGGCAAGGATGTTAAGCCACATTAAGCCATCTTCAGTCCCTTGACATTTAGCATTATTATTATTATAATATTTTGCTTTTTGGGTCACACCTGGCAATGTTCAGGTTTACTCCTGGCTCTGCACTTAGGAATTATTCCTGGTAGTGCTTGGGGGACCATATGGGATGCCGGGAATCAAACCCAGGTCGGCCGTGTGCAAGGCAAACGCCCGCCCCACTGTACTATCACTCCAGCCCCGGCATTATTATTTTTAATAGGGGCCATTCCCGCAAACTGGGGCCTGTAGGGCTACCCCGGGGGGTGTCCAGGGAGATAGGTGTGTGTGTGTGTGTGTGTGTGTGTGTGTGTGTGTTTAGGTTGACGATGCTGGGGATCAAACTAGGGGCTTTGCACCCACTGCCACTTGCACCACATGACCAACCCATGTGTTTGGCTTTTGTGAATGAAAACAGACACACAAAGAAAATAAGACAAACAAACTGTAGCACAGTCACTTTGTTCATGAGTGTCAGAGCCATTTGGGGACGGCCGCTGGGCATGACTACCGGGCCATTCAACGCTAGTGAACGGATGCCCAGGACGGGGCTTACCTGTGGCTCCCGCGCGGCTGATGAGGCTGCTCAGGATGTACTCTGCCTTCAGAAGCTTCCCTGCAAAGAAGCGGCCAATAGCACAGGGTAAGTCGGGCACATGTGCTTGAACTGTGGCCGTTCGTGGCAAGGTGGGGATTGGGCGTTGTGTGATGGGGTGACTGCACTCAGGTGGGCAGGCACAAGGGGGACGAGGTGTGGGGGTGGCTGAGGCTCGTCTCTGCAGAGCTCGTTCACCAAGGGATGGCTGGGCTGAGTCTCCATCCTGTGAAAGCTCAGGAAGTGGAACGGAATTGCCCAGGAATAGGATTATTTACAGAATCACGAGGAAGGGTTCTTTTATCTTTTCTTTTCTTTTCTTTTCTCTTCTCTTCTCTTCTCTTTTCTTTTCTTTTCTTTTCTTTTCTTCTCTAAAAAGGATTAGGAAGATTTAAACCCAAACAATAGCACTGGAGAAATAGTACACCAGGTAGGACATTTGCCTTGCATGGAGTCAACCCAGGCTTAATCCCTGGCACCTGTATGGTCCCCTGAACACTGCCAGAACCAGGAGTAACCCCTGAGCACCGCTGGTCATACAACTCCCCAAACTGCACCCTCCCCCCAAAAAACAAAACAAAACACAAAATCCAAAAACAAAAAAACTCCACCCTGGTCCTTTTAAATTTTGTCCCCTTTTGGGGCCATACCTGGCAATGCTCAGTGAACCATGTGGTACTGGGGTTTGAACCTGGGGCTCCCACAGACAAAGCCTGCATTTGAACCCTCCAAAAAACATCATTCTTTTTTATTAATCTAGAAGAGGCCTCATCTCTGTTCAGCATTGACCAAGAGCAGCAGGACTCTGAAAATTCTGGCCTGCCACCATATGCTTTTAGCTGCCTTCTGACCCCTGTGACACATGGGGTGAGTGAACATTCTACGACCATGGAGGCCGCTCACTCAGCGGCTCAGATTTGTTGTGCATCTGCTGTTCTCTCGCATCCTGGTTTCCTCTCACTGTTTCTAAACTTCATCTAAAAGCATTTGCAGTGGAGGTGATTTTCCTGTGAGAATCCTAAGTCCCCGGGGGAATGAGGACGATGATTCTTCTGGAGCCTGGGTTGTGCATTTCATTATCAGAAATTTCAGCAGCAAATCAGTCTCCCCTCCCCCCGCCCAAATTATTTAGAGGAAGAAACACTTCCTGTGAATAGAGTCAGTTCAGACCCCACACACACATTTGGCACAGAATTGGGGTTTTATTTCTTTGGGGAGATTTTCTTTGGCCTCCACCCCAGAGTTGGACAGAGAGCAGCCTTCCTTGCCACTTCTCTGGGTGGGCTGGTGGGGTCTCTGCACCCCATTTCTCAACCTGTGCGTATATCTGGGACTGGCAGCTTGAAGCTTTGTGCAAATAGTTCACCCCTTGCTGAGGGGGCCGAGGCCGGGTCTCTGGTCCCTGCACAGGGATTGAGATGACAGTTGCAGGGCTGGAGTGAGAGTTCCATTTCCAGGACTGCAGATGGTCCCCTGAGCACAGGGCCAGGAGTAATCCCTGAGCATAGCAGGAGGCGGTTCTCCAAACCAAAATAAATAAGAATATGAAGTGGCAGTCCCTCTCGCGGGCTTCCTCCAGGTAGAAACCCTTCGGCTGCCATGTGGTCTATATCCAGACTTGGGGAACACCGGCTTCGCTCTGCATTTTCAAAATCATCTCATGTTTGCCCTATTTGTGGACACAGAAGATAAACTGGTTTTGCACTCTCAGCCCATCCATAGGCAGCAAATAAAATTCACACTCTTGCAAATCAAAATCACCTTTTGCAAGCCCAAATGACTTCTTCGTGAATCAAATTCACTGTGCAACATCCTGGACTGACAGTAGCAAAGTGTATGAGATGAGAACATGTGGGTTGCTCACTCTTAGACCGCTTGCCGGGTAAAGGATCAGGGCGAGGTAAACTGGAGCGCCTTTCTCTGTGTGCGTGGTCAGAGTGTCGAGGCCTTTGTCTCAGTGGGGGCTTGGAAGGTTTTGTTCCTCCTGAAGTTTCAGGCACGAGAGAACTGGCCAGGCTCAGGTCCCAGGCTCAGGTCCCCTTTGGAATGACGGGTGAAGGACCCCGGGTGAGACTGGCCACTGAGGACCCAGGAAGCCCATGCTGGCCTCTCGTCTCTCCTCTGATCCACTTCTAGTCACCATCTGGCCCTCTCAGCACTCCGTCCTGGGATTCCAGAGATCCCACAAAGCTGTGTCACTTCCTTTTGTGGAAGGAGAGGAGTCTGGACCATACCAAGTGGTGTTCAGGGCATACTCCTGTGCTCTGTGCTCAGGGATCACTCGTGGTGGGCTCATGGCCGGGCTCAGAGGACCACGTTCAGTGCTGGGAAAAGAACCTGGGTGAGCCAAGTGCCCCAGCTCCACTGTCCCATCTCGTTGGGTCTCTGAGACAAGCCGCCTTGAGAGGGCTCAGGCCCGCGCTGGCCTCTGAGGGGCCCTCACCCTCGGAAAGGTGAGCCTGGCTGGCCGACTGCCTTCTTCTCCGCAGAGGCCTCCTCCCTATCAGGAGAATGACCTCCTACTCCCTTGGTTAAAGAGATTAGAGAACTATCAGATGGAAGCAGCAGGATTAGTCTGGCTGCGAGAAACAAAGCCATTGCATGTCTCTCCCCTGGCCCTCAGTGTTGGTGTTCCGCTCGTGTCCCACAGGAAATGCCACTCCAGGGATGTGAGAGGCGTCTCAGAGCCGAGCCCGTGCTTTGTGGGGTTGGATGCCTGGCCCCGCAGGGACCCACAGTGCCAGGAGAGTAGCCCTTGAGGATTGCTGAATGTGACCCCCTAACGAAACAGAAAAGACAGAGAAAGACTTCACCCCCACAAGAGCTTGACTCTGGGTTCTCTTGGGGAGGCATAATCATGGCGATGGCGCTGTAGGTATCTGCCTTCACCATTCTCTGCCCCCCGTCAATGCCTCCTCACAGCTCCCACCTCATCGCCTTAGGAAACCGTCAAAGGCACATCATGGGGGTCTCTCCTGTCCCCAGGCAGCAGAAACCCTGAACATTATAAAATGGCCCAGAGCCAGGACACCTGGTGTGAGGGCAAAACTTATGCCACGACAAGCTGCAGCTAACATTAAGTCTCAGCTAGGCCTCAGTTTCTGTTTCCCCAAAGCAGAACTTGCAGTTGCTGGTAAACTCCCAGTTGAGTAAAATGCCGAGATAAGGAATTGGGCAGTTGGATCTGACTGGTCACGAGAGGTCACTGTACCCTCCTTAAAAACTGTTACTCACCATTGTCTAATTGCTGACCACTTTGTAATAGGGCTGATGCTACAGATAGACCAGTATATAAATCGCTTCTTAATTCTGAGCCCTATATAAACCGCTTGTGATTTGGAGTCGGGGTCCTTGTCAAGACTCCACTGCGTTGGATAAAACTTGGACCCTAGCTTGGGCTAGCAACAAAGTTCCTTTGCTTTTGCATTATCATGTGTGGACTTGGTCTCTCCACGTTTGGGGATCCGTAACTTGACCCTAACACTGGAAGAAGAAATTTTCCCTAAGTTCAACCGTGTCTCTGAACTCACTCTGGCAAACGGAATGAGAAGACGAGGGCCTGACTCACGCACACCTATGGGTGGAGAGTGAGATGCTCAGGCATTGGAGAAATGATGGTGTTCTCAAACAGCCCGCTCCTCTGCCTGCTTTTATCTTGGTTCCTCCCTGCCTTTAGCCACCCACATTCCCATGGGCAGTTAGAACAGCTCTGTTTCAAAGGAAAGGAAGCCCAGGAAGAGCTTTGCTAAAAACAAAAAACAAAAAACCCCAAAACAAAACAACACTGTTGTGATAAAATAACAGTAAGCTAAGGCCAAGGAGAGGGAGAGAGTGGCCACTAGTGTTCCACTTCATCCCCTTCCGAACGAGCCGAGGGTAATTCAGAACATCCCAGACTCCTTTGCCTGTGGCCTTGGCTGTTGCCCTGCCCGGCTGCCCTTTCTGCCTTCCAGCCTGACTCAGAATGTCAGGCCCATTCTCCGGTTCACTCCAGTGACAGAAGAGGGAGGGGTGAGGGGAGAGGCCTCACCAGGTAGGGCTCCGGTGTGCCCACGGAAAGACCCCTTCGAATGACTGGAGTGGGTGTGTCAGCCTCATGGTCGTGTGGTCAAGTGGCTGTGCATAAAGTGTCCGGGAGCCCAAAGAGAAAATAGTGTGGTTCTACTCTGCTTGCGATAGGCCCCTAGTCAGAAGTGCAGCAATTCACACAGGCCTGTTTGAAAGCAGCAGGGCAGAGTTGTCGGAAGACAAAAGGTCCAATTAGTATTTCCCACAGCCTTTCACAATTTTCTCCTCTGCGCTTGGCTCTGCGCGCCTTTATACAGGGCCTTTGTGCAGGCAGGAGGCAGGGCCAGGGAGCCTGCAACTTGCCAGGGGACAAGTCCACTTGCACGTGGGGGTACAATTCCAGGAGGCTGCAGGGGGTGGATGCGTGTGCCGAGCGGGGCCCAGGGCTGAGTGGTGCCTACCTGCGTGCGCAGCCAGCCGGGCCTGACGGATGACCACCTGGGGGGCGATGGGGGTGGCTGGTCGCCACCGGTGCAGGCCCCTCGCCACCCGCAGCAGTGGTGCCGACAGGTCCAGCCCGTACAGAAAACGGTCACTCAGGAACACGATGGCGGCTGCGGTGACGCTGTCCCCAGCCTTGATGCTGGCTTTCAGGGCTGCCTGCAGGAAGACCGGGACGGAGAGAGAGAGAGAGAGAGAAAGACCCTGGCTGAGTCTCCTGGCCTTCTCATTAGAACCAGAACCACAGAAGCCAGAGCTGGGAAGGCAGGAATGGACTTTCCTAAAGCCTCTGTGGGCCGGAGAAATAGCAAATGGGGAGTTTGCCTTGCCTGCAGTAGGCTTGGGTTCAATCCCTGGCATCCCATGTGGTGGCCTGAGCACCACCAGGAGTGACTCCTAAGTGCAGAGCAAGGAGTAAGCCCTGAGCATTGGTGAGTATGACCCAAAAAGCCCCCCTCCTCAAAAAAATCCAACAAAACAACAAAGAAACAAGATCAGGTCCATACATGGAGTGGAGTATTAGTCAGCCCTGAAAAGGAGATCTTAGTTCACAGTTTACCAAGAGAGACCCCGAGGACACGAAGCAAGGTGAAGTAAGCCAATCACCAGGGGATGATCTGAGTACATGAATAGGGTGTTTAGCAACAGCAAATCCACAAAACCAACATTAAAATGGTGTTTGCCAGGAATTGGGGCAGAGGGGGAAAGGCTGATTAGCTGTCGTTGAACGGGCAGAGAGACTCACATGGGCAAAAATGATGAAAGCTGAAAGAGCAGATGCAGATGATGAGAAAGTTTTGGAGATGCATTTCACACTCGCACAACAGCTGAGCACTGCTCCCCCTCCCACCGTAGTCACATGCTGGGCATAGCGAGTGTCCACAGCACCCCTGAGATACTGCCTGACCCTCTGACCCCGTAACTCCAGACTCAGCCGCTTCCTCTGTTTCTTGCTCTCACCTAAGTCACTTTATTTTATTTTATTTTTTTGCTTTTTTGGTTACACCCAGTGATGCTCTGGGGTCACTCCTGGCTCTGCACTCAGGAATTACTCTTGGCGGTGCTCAGGGGACCATATGGGATGCCAAGATCAAACCTGGGGCAGCCACGTGCAAGGCAAATGCCCTACCCACTGTGCAATTGCTCCAGGCCCTGACTTAAGTCACTTTAAATTGGAATGAGGGGCCAGAGCGATAGGGAGGGCGCTTGCCTTGCATGCGGCTAACCCGGGTTCGATGCCCAGCATCTCATATGGTTCTCAGAGTCCTGACAGGAGTAATTCCTGAATGCAGAGCCAGCAGTAATCACCCTTGAGCACCGGACGGTGCTCAAAGCCACAAAAATCGGAATGAGATGATGAGGGCGAACACCTTCCTCAAATGCGACAGTGCCACGGGGCCAGAAGCCGGGATCCCAGAGGGTAGGAGCAGCCAGGCTGGGAGCTGGGCCGGGAGGTGGGCACTGCCAGGAGAGCAGGGCGGAATGCCAAGGGTGCCCCTATGGTCAGCCTCAAGGTCAGCCCCACGCTTCTCCCACCCTCTCTAGGCACACAGCTGTGGACGGCTGACAGGAGGAGCCCGGTGCGTTCCAAGGACAAGCCTCAGGGAGCCCGGCAGGGGCAGAAGCCGCAGAGTGGAAGACGGCACTTGGCAGAAGACAGACGGCCTCTGGACCAGAGAAGGCAGAGCATGGCTGACGGCACGAGCGGGCACACAGCAAACCATCCATTTTCCTTTGCATCTGTTAGGTTTTCTTTTTCCCACACAAGTGGCAAATGCTCAGGGGCTGACTCCAGGCTCTGTGCTCAGGGATTCCTCCTGGTGGTACTTGGGGGAGCCTGTGAGATGCCAGGGATGGGACCCAGGAGAGCTGTGTGCCAGGCAGGTGCTATGGCTCCACCCCCCACACATACAATGAAGCCTGCTCCTACTATTCCGTCTGCGCATGGTTCCGAGAGCTGCAGAGAAGGACCCCAGAGGGCCGGGCTGGGGGCAGGGAGGGGGCATTTCTCTCTCTGCCTCTGCCCAGCCCCCTGTGCCAGAAGTGAGTGAGCAAAGTCAGACGTCCAGAACTCCCCCGCCCCCCACGGGATTTTCCGTCTAGGAAGGAGGAAACGGGAGGCGTGCACGCGGGTGGGGCAGACCCGTCTCAGGGAAAGGCCAGGCATCTCTCTCCGGGTCCCGGTACCCTCTCTGCCAGCTCTGGGCAGAGGCGCTCCTGGGAAGGTGAGCCAGCAGCAGGAGAAGGAGGCCAGGCAGGGGAGCGTGGGGAGGCCGCTGTCACTCTCTGCAGAGGCCCCTTGGTCCCGGCACCTGCACCCCAACGCCTCAGCCCGTCCACTGCAGCCTGCGAGCCAACACGCCGCGTCCCGAGCACCGAGCGTTGCCTAATCTATTTTTCCCCCCTTCTCCTCTTAATAGATCGGAGCACAAAAGCCTGAGAGAGGGTGACCTGCAGACAAAAGGCCTTTGAGCGCCTTGGCAAAGTAGACTTGGAGGAGGATGGAAAGAATCCAAGTGGCCCTATTATTTCCACTTGCACTAATTAGACATTTTTCTGTCAGCCATTGAGCACCGCTGAGAGGCCAAACTCACTGAATTCATTTCTAAAGTGTTTACAGAAGTTTGCATCTGTTTGTGTCTCTTCAGGAGGAAAATAAGCACTTCAATGGCATTGTCCAAGCACCCTATTCTGGGCGACCTGGCCGAGCTGCACCTGCATAATTTAACTCTGCAACGGGGCCCTGCTCGCTGCCCCCCCCCCCCCCGCTCCCCCTCTCCACCCTGTCTCTGTCTCTGTATCTCTCATCTTTTTCCAAAATCTCCCCTACCAAGCCGGGGCCATCGTCCCTATGGCTGTGGAGGGGGCCGTGTGCCATGGGGGTCCTCTCTGCAGCCCTTCGCTCCTGTGCGCTGGGAAACTAATACCCACTTTCATTTGCTGCCAAGGGTGGGGGGAGCAAATTCCTCAGCAGCAGAGCAGACCCCACCCTCTCCCCCCTCCTCCCTCCCCCCTCCCTGGGAATCTCCCCCAGGGACAGCCTGAGGACCCCGCTGCAGAAGAGGGATGAAAGAAACCAGAGCCTCACCGGGCCAGGATGTGGGAGAGGGATTCCCTATGGACTCCAATGTGCCCGGGTGATGCACAATTAGATTAACATGAAAGGGGGCCCCTGGCCTCCCCCAGCCCCCTCCACGGCCCCAAGGGAAAGAAAAAGAAAACACAAGGGCCCCTAACCCACTGACTGCGGGCCCAGGGCCTTTGAGATGCATATTGGTCCACAGGGAATTGGATTCACCATCCTTTCTGTGGGAGCTTTTGGGCCCAGGCTGCCCTGCCCTCAAGGAGGGTTCGACAATACCCTGAATCCTGTTATGTCCTGTCACAGCCGCAGAGGGACAGGGAGGGACAGACTCCAGCTAGAGTGAACGGGACTTCTCTGCCTCTCTCCTCTAGAGAGCCCACATGCCACCAAACTGTTTTTCTTGCTGAGTAATAAACAAAAGGATTGAATGCAGGGAGGGAGTGCGCTGGATTGCCCAGGAGAGGGACTCACCGATGTGTGTATGTGTGTGTGTGTATCTACACTCAGACACATGCTTTCACACGCACATGTGTACCCTCACACACAGTCACATGCATATTCAGAAACATGCACCCTCAGACACACAGTACACACACATGCACAGACATGTACACACCCAGACGCATGCATGCACACAATCACATACGGGCACAGACACATATACACAAATTCACACATATGCACACACACTCAGACACACACACAGATATGCACATACCCAGACACACCCACACACATATTCAGACACATGAACACACACATACTCAGAAAAAGACACCCAGACACATGTACAATGCACATTCACACAAACCCAGAAACACACATATGCACACATGCAGACATATGCACACGCACACAGAACTGTAATCGTCCAGATACATGCACACTCAGTCACGCACACACACATACAAACTGATAGACACATGCCCAGAGACACGTGTAGATGCCTGGGTACATGCTCACACATGCACAAACACACAGACCTACATGCACACCCAGTATGGAAATGTGTACATGTGCACACATGCATGCACACACCCAATACACACGCATACACATACATACACCCCCAAGTTTTTTTTTCACATCTGTCTGCAGGATGGACTATCTCGGGTTCTAGTTGAGTTCTGGCCGCCTAGCTTCATGGCTAGGAAACTGAATCAGGTGGTACAGGAACGAAGCTTTACGATGAGATTTCCACACACAGAGGATGGAAAGATGCTGAAGAGTCTTCTCAGGGGCTTCTGCCAAAGAGCAGCAGGAGAAGTGTGTCCCCATGGCTGGTCCCTGATGCTGCCCCTCCCGCAGCTGAGCACCGACGTCGGGTCCCAGCTAGAGTTCAGGGTCAGTGCTGAGATGTGTTCAGAGCAATGACAATGGCAGCTGCTTTCCGGGGTGGCGCTGGGCGGGGGGACGGAAAGGCTGGGTGGGGGGACTCCGAACCAAAGCCACCTGGCACTGCGATTGGCAGGAGCTTTATCAAGGGAATTACTGCTGCAGAGCAAATCCGGAGATTGGGGAAAGGCGGGGGAAGGGGCACGTGTGCCGAGGTGGGGGATGAGGAGTGAAACAAATGAGAAGTGATAGATGACCACAAAGTTATGCATCAGCCAGGAACACAGAACTGCGGCTGGTCAGGCTGCTGGTCATCCCTGCTGGTGGCCCCTCTAGAATAGGACCCTTGAAACACGCTGCCCAAGGCCTGCTAACATTTGCCTGGGCTTTCCTTCCTTTGACTAGGAAATCGCGCAGATGGGGCAGGTGAAGCCAACTCTGCCCCGGAGCACAAATCCTGCCCAAGGCACCCACACATCCCCGGACACTGCAACTCGCAGCAAAACCACTAATAAAACCAGACCCTTGAAGCTGCTGTTTCGCCCATCAACAGTTAGGAAGTTAAAAAAAATTTTTTTTCTCATTAAAGTTATGGCAAAATGGAGGCTGGGAATCAGCCCAAAGGGCTAGAGCAGAGGTTGGAGTGATAGTACAGTGGGGAGGGCGTTTTCCTCGCATGTGACTGACTTGGGTTCAATCCCCGGCATCCCATATGGTCCCCCTGAGCACCGCCAGGAGT